TATATATATATATATATGCACACACACACACACACACACACACATACACACACACACACACCACATGTATATATATGTATATATATATATATATATATACACACACATATATGTGTGTGTGTATATTATGTACATATATATATATGCATGTATGTACGTATTTATGGATATGTATGTAGCTACGTAAGTCCACATTTATATGTGTATGCGTGAACATACATGTGTAAACATCAGTATACCTGCAGCATCTATGTGACGTGGATACGTTTGTGTACGGTTCCCTACGTTTGTGTCGGCGTGTTCGCATGTATGTGCGTGCGTATGGGCGTGTATTTATATCCATACAATAAGGGGTATGTATGTGTCCTCACCTTAAGATGTAGACAAAAACTTCTATTATTCAATTTAAACTTAGAAAACTGAGCAAAAACTGGATGCGACCATGCCTTCTTTGTCTCGGTTCTCCTCTCATGCACCTAACAACCGAACAGGCCTATGTAGACTGATAATTTTTTACGGAGATTCCACTGTTCTCTACCATTAGACACACTGGGTTCTGGGCCACGTCCACACGAATCCTTTTTTTCAACAGGAAAGACTGAAATATATTCCTTTTTCCTGAACACTCTCCGTTGCAGCACACGATTTATCAACGATATTTCCTTATGTGTTTTCTCTGCGTTTTGTTTTGTTTTGCGAGTGTTCTTTGGTTTTCGTATCATAATAGACAAGATTTGTTCCTCTATCCTGTGAATCGGCAGTTGATTTTACTATTGGATATGATTTTTCAATAGTTTTTTTTCAGGTTTATAAATATCTAGAATTTGCGATCACATGTTTTCCTTATTTTGGCAAAGAGCTGGTGTCGATTGTTTGTTAAAACCACTCATCATTATCTCATTTCTAATCCATGCTAAGGAAATATTCGAATAGTTGATAAATAAACCTTCTGTTTATTGAAATCATCGTGAAAGATATTCAGGGCTGGAGACATGTGTACGCGGGTAACCATGGCAACAGCACCATCAACAAAGCGGCGTTTAGTCGATATTTCGTTTGGTTATTTTGTTTTCTTATTGTGACAGTTGCTTCTATCCACTGGCTTATTATGTATATTAGGAAATATTATCTGTTTAGATAAGTTCATATTTGCGTGGATTTATTTTCCAGTTCATATATGCCAATTATATTAATGATCACGTGCTAATTTGTACATTATAATAACAGAATATTTTTCATTGAGCAAATGTTCATTGCGTGCATATATTTTCCCTTATTCATTTGTTATCCTTTTCTTAATTCATAAAATTTACACTTATTTATTAATCTAAAATGAAAATTGTGATACAAAATGCACATATCTCCACAAAACACCATAATTTTCGATATCTAAACACTCTTACAATTAGGTAATTTTAATTCAACAAGAAATTCATTCAAATAACACACAGCGATAAAGTAAACAAATCTCAGCGCCTCCTTCATATGCCTTGACACGTGCGCCGAACGTCAGTGTGCAACCAACATCGAAAGGGAGAGTATAGCGCTCCTCCTGGATGGGCGGGAAAAGCATGGCGACGGCGGATGTTGTAGAGGTGGTGGGCGTGGGTGAGGTGGAGGTGCGCCCCCAGCTGGCTTCTTTAACGCTTGTGCTCTCAGCCCAGAAGAACAGCCTGGAACTATGCCGAGCTTCTGTGGAGAAACGGCGGCCGTACGTTTATCAGACGGTGGGTCACTGACATCGTCAGGTTGCGTCTTTATCTGGTGTTCTGCATGTACACACATACATACATATTTGCGTGTGTGTGTGTGTGTGGTGTGTGTGTGTGTGTGTGTGTGTGTGTGTGTGTGTGTGTGTGTGTGTGTGTGTGTGTGTGTGTGTGTGGTGTGTGTGTGTGTGTGTGGTCTCTCTCTCTCTCTCTCTCTCTCTCTCTCTCTCTCCTCTCTCTCTCTCTCTCTCTCTCTCTCTCTCTCTCTCTCTCTCTCTCTCTCTCTCTCTCTCTCTCTCTCTCTCTCTCTCTCTCTCTCTCTCTCTCTCTCTCTCTCTCTCTCTCTCTCTCTCTCTCTCTCTCTCTCTCTCTCTCTCTCTCTCTCTCTCTCTCTCTCTCTCTCTCTCTCTCTCTCTCTCTCTCTCTCTCTCTCTCTCTCTCCTCTCTCTCTCTCTCTATATATGTATATATAGATAGATTATATATATATATATATATATATATATATATATATATATATATATATATATATACATATATATATATATATATACGCGCGCGTGTGAGTGTGTGTGCGTGTGTGTATGCCTATATGTATTAATATATGCACATGTACATGCATGTGTAAGTGCGTGTATTTGTGCGTGCTCGTGCGTGTACGTGCGTGTGTGTGTGTGTTTATGTGAGTGTGTGTGGTCGTGTGCGTGAGCGTGCGTGTGTATACACATACACACACACACACACAGATGTGATATGTATATATATATATATATATATATATATATATATAT